ATTACAGGCAACTAGCTACGGGACCTCCCTGAACCTCGTAGAGGCAGCGAAACACGTAGAGTCGGGAGAAACCGCCTTCCAAAGTTCACACGGAAGTTACCGCGTGCCGAACCAGGATTGACTCAAGCCTGCGGCAACACCAGCAACGGGAGAAGTAAGGTCGAAGCAGATCAATCGGGGCAAGGTAAAAAGGTCAGAAGGACCCAAGTGCTTCAAATGCCGAAAGTACGGGCATATTCAAAAGATTGTGCGAAGAGCGTAGTTGACAAAACCACCGACAGCGTGAGGTCCAGCGACAAAGCACTGTACGTTGCATCTCAGCCGGCGAGCGTGCAAGGTGAGGTCAAGTATGGTAAAAACTAGTGATGGACCGAATCTGCCAAACTTCAGATTCGGCAAAGTTCGACAAACATCCGGCAAAAATTCCGCAAATGTCTGCGCACGCGCGAGAACGCGACGGGGCCAACGAGGCCATGGACTGGAAATGGGCGCCTTGCAGTCGTGCTGTTACCATCGTACAGTGTAGTACAACCAGCCGTTACGCGTCGACTTGGGGAGTAGGCAACACGGTAACTGTGCGTTTGTGAGCGGGTGTGGTTCTCTTCTATGTTTTCTGCCACAAAAACAGAAGATCGACCAGTTATTTACGCAGTCCACTGAGCAAGTGACATATTATGAGGTACATTCTGGATAACGTGATTTTCATTTGAACTTTCCAGTGATGCAACGAGGTAGTTGAAACATTGACTGATAATTACTTCAAAGCACTCCTCCCAATTATAACAATCCTGTTTTCAGCTCACAAGTAGTTTGTGCGCAAACAAAACAATATTGCTTCTTAATTAGCGTCATTTCACGATTTCCGTGCATCAGCACAAAACTAAACGCAGAACTATCATGTTCGACGTTGCACATCCGACATTCCCAACTCTTCCCATCTTGCGAAACGTCCGTGTGTGCCCTAACACCAGGAACCGGGATTTTAGAGGTTAGAAACGAGACGTTGCGAATATGGCCGGGACGCACGCTTTCATGCAAAGCTGACGTCAAGTGACTCAAATCGAAAAACATGCATGCATATTTACAATAATGTTGTTATCTCTTCTGGTGAAGGCTCAGCAACCGTTGCATTCGGTTTCGCGCACGAAACGGTGACTCCCAGAGAAAGTAAGAACGCAGTGTTATTGCCTTCATTTTAACAACGTACACAAACTTGCGGTCTTGCGCTGATGAGGCCTGAAAACAGAAACTCTCGTAGCGTGATTCGTGATTGCGCCGCTACCAACATCGTTGTCACGCCACTTCTGCAAGCAGTCACTAAAATTGCCAACAATTATCTTGTAGAATATCACTTATATAGTAATAACTGTGCGAATTCGCCTTATATGTTGAATTTAAGTTAAGAACAAGAAAACATAAAACTTTTTTCGCCAGAAAAAACGAAATATCAACCTTAAGTCTGGTAACACTGCATTTCTGCCGAGTCTTTGCCGAATGTTTAGATTAGTTCGAGAAACGTTGGGCTTTGCCGAATCCCAAGATTCGGCGCCGAATTTTCGATTCGGCAAAACATCGGCCCATCGCTAGTAAAAACTGCCTCAAATAACGAGAAAAGCTATGCGGCGCTAATAGACACCGGCAGCTCCTTGTGTACTACAAGGGCATCAGACGCGACCTGATGTTACTGAAACTTTGAAGCGGAGACCTTAAACTGTACGGATTTCGCCAAAACACTCTCAAGTATCTCTCGAAGTTCTGAGCGACGATTGCGATAGATAAAGTAAAGGATAGATAACGAACTTTATGTCGTTCCAGACACGGCGCAGCACATGCCAGATCATTGGACGTACCTTGACGGAGCTATCCAAACGTGGCATATCTCAAAATTGACGACACTTTCCAGATTATGGACAAGGCTGACGAGACGTTCAAGCACTTTGAACCATTCGGGCAAAGACGACCGTCAAAATGTCAGCCAAGAAAGACGTCACCCTCGAGCGTTTTGTTTGTTTTGTTGTGAGCTGCTCCTTCACTCTAAAAAAAGCCCGTGCGTCTACTTTGCCGCGCAACACTCGGAGAGTCAGTCACCGCAATTTTCGGAGACAGCTCAGCGAATGACGATGCTGAAACATATGTTTAGACCGAAAAACGCAGTCTGAGTTGTGACATTAAGCAATGCAAAACGTCACTCTAGCATTGCTAATGTCACAGCTCGAGGACTGCGTTTTTTGGTCTAAACATATGTTTCGGCATCGCCATTCGCTGAGCTGCCTCCGAAAATTACGGTGATTGACTCTCCGAGTGTTGTGCGGGAAAGTAGACGCACGGGCGTTTTTTAGAGTAATTCTATTAATCTCATCATGGCAAGTGTCGACTTTGAACACGACATCGATATCGTTTTCCAGAGAAAGGACTCGTTCACCGGGGGCCTGCTACATGTCTCCGACATGGAAGTCTTCGTATCTGTGGCAAGCCACTCCAACACTGTCATAATGTGGAATAAAAGTACAAGCCTGGTGCGTGGGGAGGAAGGAAGTCGACACAGTCTAGCGCGATCCTCCTAAAGAGGTGGGCCAGCACGACGTGAAGTAAAGGAACTTAATTCCAATTGACGAGAACGACGTGGTAATTGGAAGGAACGTGACTGCCAATGAACATCAGGCGCTGATCAAGGTGCTGAACAAACACAGGGACGGCTTACCACGAGTATCGACTAACTTGGCTGCACCGACCTAGTCGAAGTGGACATTGTCCTGGAGGAAGTGAGCATGCCAGTCTGTTCAGGGCCTTACAGAAGAAGCAAACGAAAACACGCTATTCGAAGACATGGTCGGCCGATTGACAAGATAAAGCCGAAGGTGACGCCGGAAACGAGGACGTTTCTAAAGTCAGAATGCCCGAGTGTTAGCAACCGCCGACACTCCGAAAAGCAGCTGTAGCTCGGAAGAGGGCTGGCAACCTGCACAGCGCGCGGTCAAGCGAAAAAAAAAAAAAAAAGATGGTGCCGTGACTGAACAATCACTTTGAATCTCTCGTTATTGAATTCAGTTCGATTTAAATTTACAACACTATGTGGCCCTGATTCACACATATAAATAAGTAAATAAATGAATAAATAAAAAGCTAATGCGTTTTTCCAGCTAAGACGCGTTTCCAAAAACTAAAGAAGCATAAGTCTAAAAAGGTTAAAAGTTTTCCTGTGACTAAAATCATGTCACATTGTAGCATAACTTTTCTTGCTGACGACATGGACCCCGAGGAAGGGTTCCGGCGGTCTTCACAGAAGGTGACTCTGGTGTAGCAGAATGTCCAAGGAGCTTTTCAAGAACTTTCGAAATTCAAGAAGTGGCAGGAGAGTTTAGAATCATAGTTTGTTGCAATATAAGACACACAGGATAGGCTCCTCTCACAAAGCCCTTCACTTTTTCTACTTGAGCAGAGCGAATGCTGGAGATAAGGCGAGTGGAAAAAAGGATACAACTAATCACATACAGAAAGCTTTGCGGGAGCACCTTGGGCCGCGTTTCTTTAACTTGCGACATACTTTAGGTTAGATTGTTTTAGTTATCTATTGAATGTTTTATCAACACTACATAACCCCATGTGGAGATTTTAGTATTGATCCAAGGGGCTTTCTTTGTTCATTCATTTTGACAGATTTTTCACAACTTAATTTCCAAGTAAAGTTGTAAGTTGATAACAGATTATTCCATCTATTTAGCTGGTACTATACATTATGGAAATAAATGTTAAGAATTTTGAAGCCATAAACACTTGGCTTTCCTTTACAATGAGTTCACTGCAATGGTTCAATATTATCAGCACCCAAGAATGTATATTTCACCTTCGAATCTTTGTCAATTTAGAAGTATATTTTCCCCTTGGTACATCCTCATATTGCAGGGAACCACCGAAGTTCCTTGCACAAAAGACGAGGCATCCTCACCACGAGGAACTTCGACTTCACCAGCTATATTTGCATGTATGTGTGACACCACAGAAGCATACAAACACCTTCACAAAAGGGTACATGTTGCAGAACTGGACATACAAAACCTGTCCAATAATACCTGTCCCCTAAAACATTTACACTGTTTTTCACCGGAAAAATAGACTATGCATTGCCAAACGCTCAGTCTCCGCTCAAATGTAGCGCTAGCAGTCCGGACCAGATGCCTGTGTTTCAGCACCAGTTTATTCGGAAGTTCCAATCGATTTTCGTTAAGTTCCAGTATGAAAAGGGGGCCCGTTCCTGTAAGCCTATGCCATTCATCTTCATGTATTCGAGGGCAGCCATTTCCCTGTATAAAAATTTCCGAGAGTCACTTATAACGTTTGAATCAAATAACGACAATCTCTGAAACTTTCTAATGTAGTCCAGTCTGCTTGTACTACATTTGGGTGCAAACGGAGCGTTCGACAATGCATAGTTATTTTTGCGGTAAGAAAAGCACATCAGTTTTGGGGTGAGTGTGCAGTCAGATGAAAAAATAGAACATGCGCTGACATCGTTTCCAACAGAACATATGTTGTTTTTGAACATGATGGCACTTTCCGTAGCTATAGCAGCAAAGAGCACTTGTACCATTATAGTGGTCTACGGGACACATGCATGCTAACCTTGTTGCCACAACATGTCCCGTGCCAAGGGATAGTGGTACACGTTCTATAATTCAGTGATATGGAACATGCTGTAACAACAAGCTTAGCAGCGATAGGTCCTGTACTTAAACGGTAACAGTGTAGGGGGTAAAACGACTGAAGTTTTTGCTGCATTTTCCTCCTAAAAGGTATCGCTCTGCAGTAGAGCAAGCAGGCTTCGGGACTAGGCTAAGCTCGTCAGCGCGGGCGTACGCCCGAAGAGCGTGGGCCCGCAAGCACAGCGTCTGCGGCCCGGGCCCCGAGAGCGTCCGAGGGCGCTGGGACTCGAGGGGAGCAAAACTACACGAAGCGTCGCCAGGAGACGCCATGAGCGCAGGCCGCGCGCGACCGCCCCGTGGCCCATTTACGCAGTCGAATTTCGGTCCTGTGTGCGGCTGGCTTGCGCGTGCTTCGATCAAACGCCCGGAACGCTCTCGTCGCGCTCGAAAACACCATGTCCGAGTCGAGCAACACAGCCCCGAGTCCGACAGTGACCGGCCCCGAAACCGCGGCGGCTCCCCCGGAGACCCAGGTGGGTGACGCTCTCTCGGGCAGGGTCGGGGCGGCTGCCATGGATTGGCCGCATCCACTGCAGCCGCCCGCTGGACCGCGTGCTGGTGCATCGTTTGCGCTCATTGCTGTCGCCATGAGTGCGGGCGACCCAAACACGCCCACTCGCCGAACCCAGTGCACAGTACGGGGCTGAGCGCACCGCCCTGTTTTCTCGGCGATAAGGACCGGGACACGTGCCTGCCGATCGATATCCTCTCGGGCCGCGCTCCTCCCAGGCCCAGTCCATTGGTTTTCTGCACGGGGCGTCTTTGGTGCGGAGTTGAGCACGCACTCACGCGTCGGGAACCCCGGCGCCCGGCTTCGTGCTGGGCCTCTCGGGCACCGAGGTGCTGAGTGAACGACCGTTGGTAACCTCGAGCAACACGTTCACCCGCGCCACGGTGCGCAGTTGGAGACGTCGCTGAACGCCGTTCGCCGGGGACGTTGCCGAGCTCGGGTCGCAATAAAAGGGGTTCTGACCCGGGCTGGACACGTAACGTTTGGTTTCATGGCGCGCTCTGGTCACCCCCGGAGCGCCCGACCATTTTTGAGGAGTGGTGCGCGTTCGAGACGCAGCTGCCAGTTGGGTATACCGCGGCCTGGCGCAGCAACCAATCGATCGGCTGCCAGCTGACAGCAAACACCGGTCTCCTTTCGGTGGGGTAGGCGTGCCCTGCCCTCCACCTTGTTCGGATCGGGAAATCCCGAGTATTTCGAGGGTGCGCGAGATGTCACTGAGCCTTCCTCGGCGAGCTCATGGCGCCGCTGGGGAGTGGTGCGAGTCCGTTCTCCGGCTGCGTAATGAGCCTCGGAGTGGACGGTTCCGCCATGAACGCGCCAGTTTGCTTGGAGCAAGAGTCCGCGAACTCCGCACACAAACAGGAGGGAGGCCGTCTGCGCTGCCGGTTGCGCATGTATTTTTATCGGTGGGACGCGTCCTTGGCGCCCTGGCACCCTTGGACTGTTTATTTCCGTGCTCTCGTCGCGACGACGAGGCGTTCTCGTGCTCCAACCGCCGCGCTTTCCACGGACTCGGGGCGGTCGACGATGTGTTTTGACACTCGTCCCTGTGATGCGAGCTCCACTTGATGCCCGCCAGCGGAAGCGGTTCGGGCTGTTGACGCCGCAGGCATTCCTTGACGTGCATTTGCTTCGGCGTTTCCCGAGGGAGCCCGTGGAAGGAGCAAGCAGGCCGCGCAGTTGTGAGAAAGAAAGCTGTCACCTAGAAGAGCATCGAAGAGAACAGATACATGCTCAAACACATCTCAGTATAGCAAAGATATATGTCAGGTTGAGGGACCTGAGAAAAAAAAAAAAAAAAAACGCTCAGCCGAAGCTGGGGGGTGGCCGCGGTATTACATTTTTTGTAGAAATGAATGTAACGAGAACTCATAAAAAAAAAAAAAGACCTTCCGCGGGTAAAGAAAAAAAAAAGAAGAAATAAACCCGCAACCCTAGATAGAGACAAACACAAAGCTTTGTGTTGAATCCGGAATAAACGCCTCCGAACTATCTCAAGTAACAAAGGCATCTAGGAATACGAACGTAGGCCATATGGCCCAGATTCATATTCCTTCTTTTTCTTTTTTTCCCCCTGTTTATACACCGCTCTTTATCTGCAATTCAGAGGACAAATGAGATGGTTTTCCAAATTTGCGGTTCGAGAGCCCGTATGCACTGTAAGCTACAAATGGGCGGCGCTCATGTGGCTTGAAGCGTTCTTGGGGACAGCGGTGTGCTCCCAATGTGTCAAGGTGCTATGCACTAACCTTCACATATCATATTAAAAACAAAAACAAAACAAAATATAACACGGGAAAAAAAATACCTTAGGGTAGCGAAATGATGCCTTAAAGGGGCAGTGTCCCCCCCGTCTCGGATTTACAACAATGCTCCGCATTTTTTTTTTTTTTTTTTGTAAATGATTGGAGAGGAAACTTTTGTCATGAAATAAACTAAGACCACCTCCCTCAAAGAAATAGTGCAATATTTGAGTGACGAGGCTCATTTTGAATTAGGCGCGATTCGTAAACATGCTTCTATTTCTAGTCGAACAGTAAATAGAAGCTTATTTTTTAACCGGTCAAGTAAGTATCAAAAACTTAAATTGCGCTCTTTTTTTTACTTTTTTTCTCGGGGTAAGTTTGTTTTCTGAAAAACGCTTTAACATCTAATTGCTTAAGCATACATTATTTTTGAACTCCACTTTAAAAAAGACGATAAATTAAATTCGCTTCTTCGAGTACATCGACCTATTGACGTTTGCATATTAACATAACGGTACACAGAGTTCTGAGTGCGCAATATACTATATAATTTAAATCCATTTTGAAGGCAATGTTATACCCCGCCGTCGCAACGCCAGACGTCTAACTAGCACACGAGTTATGGGACAACTGTTGTTGCCGTCTTCGTAGGCAAGAACATCACGTAATAAAACATTTGTTTTCTGGCACTGCTTCTTTATATGAATAATACGGGCGTGTTCATATTTAATGTTGCGCTTGTAAGCTCGGTGAAATGAAATGAATTTAGTAGTTTCGTAAGTTTGAAATGTCCCAAGAAAATAGTTGACTATTTCGCGGAGTCTCCTGTTCTTGTCCCGACAGTAGCGCGGCTAATTCGCGTCTCTTTGGAACGGGGCCCGCTTTGCGCCAAGTGAGTGAGTGATGAGCACAGGATTAACCGCACCTCAAGGCTAGATGGGAACTCAGCCGCAGCCTCCCGTCACATCGAGTTAGTTTTTATTGCATGCGCAACCGAAATGCTGCGTATTGTGTATGGCCCTAGAAAAAATAAAAAAAAAGATGTAACAGCCTGGGAAAAACACCCTCAGCAAGGGCACATTTGCATGTGTCTCACGCGTTAGCATAAAATAATGATAACCAAAGTCTTTTAGCGAAAGGTACCTTTAGCAAAGGTTATTTTTTCTCACACGGCCGATAAACGGAGGATATTTACTCAGTCTTGTAAACATTCCTCTAAAACGGTAACTAAAGCTCGTTCCTCGTTCCTTCCCAATCTTGGAATGAGCTCCCGTTACAAGTTCCTTTGATTCGAAAGGAACGCGTTCCATTGCATTTCTAACATTGAAACCTGTCGTTATATTTGCGTATTCTAATTAAAATATAGGGCACACTAAGAAAGGCCCGTGCCTCTACTTTCCCTCACAACATTCGGAGAGCCAATCACCGCAACCGGCGGAGACAGTTCAGTGAATGGCGATGCCGAAACATAAGTTTAGACCAAAAAAGCAGTCTGAGTTGTGACATAAAGCAATGTATAACGTCACTCTTGCATTGCTTAATGTCACAACTCGGATTGCGTTTTTTGTTCTAAACATATGTTTCGGCGTCGTCATTCGCTGAGCTGCCTCCGCAAGTTGCGGTGATAGACTCTCCGAGTGTTTTGCGAGAAAGTAGACGCACGGGCTTTTTTTTAGAGTGCATAAGTGCAGCAGTTATGGCACCTTCCACTTCGGTGTTCAAATGGCGCAAAGTTAGAATAGACATCACAGGTAGCTGTGACATATGCAGGAATTCCCTTTTTGGAGGGGGGCACTGGCACCATGCGTACGCATGCTGTATAAGGTCAACTACAGGGAGGGAGGAAGGGAGGGAGGGAAGGGATCACTTAAGCCAGGTCTACAGTAGGATCCCACCCGTCCCTAGCGAGTCTGGCGCTACAGTTCCAAGCCGTTAGTTACGGGGACCGGGGAACAACAGGACACCCGACATTTCAACCCAGAAAACAGTAATGCGGCGTTGTGGTTCTCGGGTTATTCCACAGTCCACTACTGTCTGCTGAAAGCCGACCGCCGTCCTAGTCTGTCGTCGGGAAGCAAATCAAGCATGGCTCACAAACAGGTGTTCCTCCTTCCCTCCTGTAGTAGATTTGTGTGCAAAAAAAAAAAGAAGAAAAAGTAGAGAAGAAGAAAAAGGCTTATTTTTACGAACGGGCTGGAAAATAACAGCTTCAATTGTTTTGATGTTTTTTTGCTTGTTTTTTATGACGTTCGGTGAAACTGTCGTTACTAAAACCATAAATGTTTACTAAACTTCGATAAAAAATACACACACACACACAAAAAGGAACGCCGTTTCTCCTGCCGTTTCCTCGAAATCGTAACAATCTCCCGTTCCAGTTCCATGGACGCTGCAGATGTAATAGCAGCGTTTCTCCGTTCCTTTTAAGAGGAACTAGTTCCAGGAACGCCGTTCCTTGGGGCGTCGTTCCGTATAACACTGTGTTTATTTCGCTGGGATTAACTGAGCAACCGAATAAGAACGCATGGAATGCTTTCACATAGATGCAGTTAAACTGTCAATATATACGCGACTTGTGTCGTGGAAGGAGCTCTTGTTTTAAATGTTTAAGTGCTCGGTAAGAGAACGGGGCCGACTTGCTAAAAACAGCGCCTCAGCTGAGGCTGGTGGAAAAAAAGCACTGCCAAAGGCAACGCTCGAGCTGAGTCCAATCGCGTCGCAAGACGCTCGCGCGCTCCAGCCTTTGCAGTGCCTTCTTTCACCCAGTCTTAGCTGAGACGCTATTCTAGCAAGCCGGCCTAAGTTTCTTTTGCAGTGTCTTGCCACATTCAGTGCCTCTGCAGCTTGACGGGTGCTGTTCACGAGCTCTGGGCGTGATTGCGTGTTGTACCCTCTAAAAACGTCCAACGACGAGCGGAGATTGTCCATCTTGATCTGTTGCCATATTTTGATATCTCAACGTTTCGCGGTCCTCGTGTTATCGTCTCATAAGCCGAGACAGTCCTTTTCCAACGCCGGAGTTCTTTTTTTTTTCTTTTCTTAATCTTGGTGTGTCGGTCAACTGTCACGTGTCCGTTTTGCTTGTGTCGCTACTACTTTCATCGCTAGCGATAGTACATACACAGATACGCGGGGCCCAAGTCGAAACCGTCATGTCACAAAACTCAAAAGCAACGGCAGATACCGAAGAGGAAGTACCTTCTCATGTGGATAA